CATCATCAATATACGTAGTATAACTGAAAAAATTACATTTAAATAAAAAATTTGCACAATTCAACCTATTCAGCTAATTTTAGTCACTTTATCTAGAAATTTAATAAATTCTGCAGGATCAATCGATTCAACTAATTTCAATGTTGCCAAATCATATCTAAAATTAGTGAATTGTATCATTATAATTTATGCAAGGATGATAAAACTGGAAAAAATTAACCTTTAATTTAGAACGAATAGAAATAAAATAACTAGGCTTTTTCAGATTATCTATTTGGAAATTATTTATTTGTGGTGTCCTTTCTAGTTAAGTCCAATTTCATTAAAATGTAATTTGGAATTTAACAATTTCGATTTACATTTCAATAAAACAAATTTAGCAATTCTTCCGGTGGAAAATGCATCATTCGATATCCTTTTAAATCAAGAAGTTAATTTCTGAAAAGTTGAAAAAGTTGATCACTATTGAGGAAACAATAAATTTGAACCAGCTGGAAACGAGTAGAGAGACCAAAAGTAGCCCTTTTGGAGTTGTTATTCCCCCTCATCCTCATTAATCTTTGCTTTATGAGTTTATGTTAGAAATTGAGTTACTTATGTGAAGTCATTGAGGGGACGTCACCGTCTTAATAAAGAACATTCTGATTAGACTTCAAATTAAACCATCCAAATAAATTCTTTATTTGATTTTAGAGAACCCTTGAGAATGTAGTGTATCCTTTTTGGGAAATCTAATCATATTAAATGACAAGTTTCATATCCAACTCATTTATCATTAAAAATAAGAGGTTTGGATGCGGACCTGAATAAACATATAAAATATAAAATCATACTCATTATAAAAAGGCAATAAATCTTGGTGTACACCTTGGGTTACACCCTGAGACCTGAGGTACACCATATAAATAGCAAAGTTTTTACTGAGTTGGTTTACCCCTCTCCCATTTGCTTCACACTCTTCACAGACTCCCTCTCATTCTCTTCTCCCTCCCCACCTCAATCTTCTTTTCTCTTTCTTTTAAAATTTCATGGGTGATTTTCTATCATAAGAGATCCTCGACGGAGTAGTGACCGGATATGGAAGTTAAAACCAAGATAGAGTTCGGCAGGATACGGAACTTCGACCATTGTCGTATTAGTCGCTGGTCGAAGGAGGGTCCAAGTCGACGGCCGGTCGCAGAATAAAGTCATCGGGTATAGGCCATTTTTCAAGAAGAAGAACTCTTTTTAGATGAATATGGTCGGAACAAGCTTGTATGCCATGGCCGAACGGTAATTTTGAAATAACGTAATTAGATAATTTTACATTTTATCAATTCACAATTGATGATGGTATTTTGTGGTTTAGTGATGTTAATGTGTATTAAAAGTATAAAATTGGAAGTACGAACCAAGAATTGGTTGTGTTTTTGTTCGAATTGCAGTGTTTGTGTCCCCAGACACTTGGAGTTGTCTGAATTGTTATGTAAGATTAGCGAAGTGTGTGAGTTTCTTGTTTAAGTTTTATACAAAAGTGATAGGTTGTTGAATCTATTTGGTGTGTTTGTGTTGTTCATATTGTTGTGTGTGAAATGAAATAGCTGATATTTGTTTGTGTATATTTTGAAGTATTTTTGTTGGTGTACACTGATAATATTTGCTTTGTAAGTTTTTGTGTGCCAATATGGTGTGTGTTGTAATTGTTTGTGAGTTGTTATGTAAGATTAGTGAAATGTATGTTCTTTTTTTGTTGTTGGATTTATATGTGAGCTTCATATGAGTTGTCTATGACGTTCATATTGTTGTCTTTGAGCTTCTTATGAATTGTTTGTGAGCTTCACTGCTCCAGATAGTTGTCTGTGACTAATATTAATGTCTGTGAGCTTTAGATATTTGTCTGTGAGTAATATCATTATCTGCGAAAATATGATGATCATGAAAGTTGGAAAGTACAATTAAGGATGGTGGAAGAAGTGCATAAGCTTATATTGTGTGTTGATACAGTTTGTTGGTATTACTATTGTCCATTTGTGTTTCTGCATGTACATAAGTGTATGTGAAGCAGTGTGTAACTGTCTGTGTACACCAACATGTATGTATGATTCTTGTTGTTAACCCTGTCGACACTGGTTGTGGTTGCTGCACTAGAGAGTGTGAGTTATGGTCATAACGTTTGCGGAGAATTTGTTGTTGCAGTTACCATTAACACCATGTTGTGACTACGACAACATGTGGAACATTAGATGTCAGTTTGCTATACGACTTTGGCGTTTGAATAAGAAAACCGGGGACATTTATTGCTCACTTTTCACTTGTAAATATGTTGGAGATGAAGTGGGGTCGTGAATGTTGTTGACGTTTTAGATTTGAATTTGAATATGACATTAAGTTTGTTGTAATGTAATTTAAAGTGTCTTTAATTTTTATACTTGTGTGACTTAAAGACGACTTCTATTACTACTCGTGAACATGGAGTCTTGGACCGCAAGTCCCAAGCGCAAATGTATAAATTGTATATTTAGATTTGAACATGACATTGGGTTTGATGTAATGTAAGGATCATTGTTTATGCATTTTGATACTGTTATAGGTGACAAGCTTGTTATAACTACACAGTTAAGTACTTATAAACAGACACTGTTGTCAGTGCACACAAACAAAAATAACAACAACACACATATTATTGTTGGTGCACACAGATAATAATAAGAACAACAAGACACAAGTATTATTGTGAGTGCGCATAGACAATAATTACAACACAATTATTATTGTTGGTGCACATAGATAATAATAATAACAACACACGTATTACTATCGATGCACACAGACAATAATAATAACACACCTATTACTGTCGATGGACACAGACAGTAATAATAACAACACACGTATTAATGTCGACACATAGACAACAATAAGTATGTTAACATACAATATGTTACCACAAACACATTTTCATTACACAAACTTACAAGTGTTTATACACACGGAGGAAATGTTTACAAAATACGGATGCATTAAAGTTGGCATTCAAGTTACAACCTTGTACAAAACTCACACATCATTGTACAACATTCTACAACATCCAAAAACCACAAGCAGTCACAAAAGTCCGACTAGTAATCTAAAAAATACAGAGTCAAGCATCATTTTTCTGTAGACGTCATAACCAGACAACAAACTAACACCTCACGTTCCACATGTTGTCATGATGCCCATCACCATGACTCCTCACTCCCTTGTTGGCTTAAGGAAACAAGAGACTCAATGGTGTCTTTCATTGTACATTGTTGTAAGCCAATCATTGTCTTGTAGAGCAAACCTGTAAAATTTATATGATTTTTACGTAAAATTGAACTACACCATCACCTTTTGTCTGTGACACGTACAAAGTGTCGGTATAGTCTTATGTTATGGCAGAAGGTCCCAGGCATTAAATGAACTACACTGACACCTTTTGTCTGTGAAACGTACAAAGTGTCGGTACAGTCTGTTTTTGTGGTAGAAGGTCCCAGGCATTAAATGAACTATACCAACACCTTTTGTCTGTGAAACGTAAAAAGTGTCGGTAAGGTATGTTTTTGTGGCAGATGGTCCCAAGCATAAATTGAACTACACCGACAACTTTTGTCTGTGCAATTCATAATCTATCTGTAACACGTAAAAAGTGAGGATTTCTTTAGTTGTCTATACATACCGACACTACTCTGTACACAACGACATTAGTTGTCGGTACACACCGACACTGAGTATGTAAGTTGTCTGTGTATGTCGAAAAATATACCTCCAACATATGCAGTCGTCTTCTCCCTGCTATTTCCTTCCCCTTCAAAGCTGTAATCATCCCGACCATCAAATGTCGGAACATCATTGGACCATAAAACACGACAAACTTAACATTCTTTCAACCATCTTCTTTAAGAAATCAAATTACAAATGGGAAAAATCAAGGCTTACCGTTCGTTGAGCTCAGAAAGTTTTGTCCGCACCATTTCTGAAACTCACTGTGCTTTGACCGTTGCGACCTCGCCAACCTTAGACCGTCGACCTTCGCAAGCGTATGAGTGGGTACACCACCTTTGACCGTCGCAACCCGGAACTGGGAACCGAACAACAGAAGCAGAGAATGATGGAAGGTGGCTTGTGGAGTGCAGCAGAAGATGATGGATGGAAAGCGGTGAGTGGGAAAGTGGGAAAGAAATGTGGAAGAGGGAGGGTAGGGAGGGCGTTTTTTTTGCAACTTTGCTTGGTGTACACCTTTTGTGTACACCCTTCTGTCCCCAGCAGACTAGTTGTCTATCCACAGACAATTCTACAGAGTTGTCTGTGAACAGACAACTCGTCTGCTGGGGACAGACGGGTGTACACAAAAGGTGTACACCACGCATTTTTCGTTTTTTTGGGAGCTCAAATGCCACATGAGATGTGGGAGATGTGGTAAAATTTTAAAAAGGGTTTATATATGATGTACCCCAGGGTGTAATCTAGGGTGTACACCAAGACTTATTGATAAAAAGGTGAGCTGGATTAAATCTTGATTGGGTCATTCATTGACAAGTTTGAGCGTAGCCCAACTAGTAAATATAGGGTGTTACAAAAGGTAAGTCTCAGGTTCGAATCTTAATAACTGCGATGAAAGTTGCCGTGTAAAAATGCATAGTTAGTACTTAATTGTGATCAAAGTCTAATTATTTCCAAATAGGCTCTCAAGGTCTATGTTAATACTAAAAGCCACATTCACTATTTGTCGGTTTTTTATTAAAATCCAATCAATTTCTCTTTAATATTCTCATCCCCTGCCTTTTGCAAGGCCTCCCCTAAACACGAAGAAGTCTTAAACCTAGCCTCTTGGGTTCAATCCATTTATCGATGCCTACCTAAACCACTCCTTAATTTACTCATTTACGATAGAAACAACTATTAAATCACCCTAGTTCCGGTGGGGTCCGGATCGAACGATCTTGCCTTTTGTGCCATAAAAAAGGCAAAAGTTTAGGGAGTGGCAACTTCTTAAAAGAAATACAGACAGCACATGTACGAAGAATTCCACAATCCCCTGAAAATGCAATGAAAGAAATTTGTTAATGTTCCAGTTGTGGCCTTGGGGTCGTGACACACTGACACTGGTCCAACCTACGCACTTAGTCGTCGTCTTTCTCTGTCAAATCACTCCGCCTGCGGTGGCCTGCACACGGCACCGGCCGCCCCATCTTTTACTGCATCCATACTTGTGAAAACTCAACACTCCTTCCCCTCTCCTGGCTCCCCATGGCACTCTACTCGCCCACCCTGTATCTGGGTTTCTTGATTTTTCTTCAAATTACGCACCTTTCTCCAACTTTAATGGCGGTTTCAGGTACCTATTTCATATCTCAGCTCATTTCAGCAGGTTTCAACTTTAAAGGCCGTTTCTTACAATTTTGGGTGTTCATTTTTTTGTTGGATCAATTGAATGTACAGATTGCCCTTTAGATATAAGTGGTTCAGACTTCACAATAGCTGCTTCCGTCTGCACTTCGGATGAGGATATAGGCAAGTGTTGCCGCTACATGAACTTCCTGGTCGCCATTTCCGTAGCGCGATATGCGGCCAAAACGAACAGCCTCGGCGTCACTTCCGAGACTTCATGGCTTTGCCGCCAAACCATAGCAGGCACCCTAGAGCTTCACGGGGTGAGCAAGAGCGCGATGGCTTTGTGCGGTTTGGGAACGAAAATCCCGGTCAACTTTGATTGCCAAGGCCGGTCAACCGTTTCTGAGATGGTTCGGTCCCCTAAATTTTCGGACGTCGCTGGGAATTGCAAAGCCAACCAGGTGTTTGAAGATAGGCATTGCAAGAAGTGCTTGAATTCGGGCATGGCGTATCTCCGTAATATGTTGGTTTCCCCTGATAATACAACTTTAAGCACTTGCAGGGATGCGACTTTTGTTGCGCTTGCCAGCCAGGTTGAGAAAGCATCTGCTTTTGACATCGGGATCTGTTTCTTTGGGGTGAAAGGGCTTGTTAATCCCACAGGTATAAACTGAGAAGATGATCCATTTCTGTCCATCTTAAGGGCGCCTGTTTGGTAAGGGATATTTGGCTGATAGATGGCTAAATCTGCCAAGTAAGCCAAAGGAGTTACTTATCTGTTTACTTACTGATATGCAGAGTTACCAGCACTGGCTGCCAAACAGCGCCTTCTTGTTTCAGTTTATTCATATCCCCATTCATCATCTAGTGTTTTGAGCTCTTCTTGACATTTATCAAGCTCTTAGCTTTCAAAGCATTGTTGAATAATTGTGTTTTTCTTTTAGTATTCTCATAAAAGGGGTAATTTCATCCTTCTTTTTTTCCAAAGATTTGGACAAACAAAGAATCTGTATATGGAGTGCTAATTGATAAATTCTAAGCTCATTCCATCAGTAGTACTCCATACTATATATGTAATGGCAGAACAAGTTTCAACCTTTAATTAGTTGCTATGTTTGGCGCTCGGAGCTGAAAAGCCACTTCAAAGCTGGATACTTGCTGAATGGTGAAAAACTAATATAGGCAAAATAAGATGTGGAATCATGAAAACTTAACATTGAAACTAAAATTTTATGGTGAAATTGTTGAAAATGTTGTTTTAAGAATTTAATTAATATGGTCATTAGTGGAAATAAGAAAAAACTCAGAGCGACTTATGAAACAATATACTCTGTAAGAGATAGCGTTTGAAATGAACCATTAGGTCTTTACCTAATAGAGTTTATAACTCAATTGTATTAAAAAATTATCAATAAGCTCTAAAATAAGTTCTACCAAACTTAGTCACTGTCTTTGTTTGAAAAAACCCAGTGGCATTGGATATATCTATTTCAATTTATAAATGGGATTAATCATTTTGTCTTGTTGACGTATTATCAGCTTAATACTTTAAATATTTTCAGTATATTGTCATCTATAATTTCCTATATAAGCGTTCTTAACATCAAGCCAATGATAAAATGTCTTCTGATTCTGTTCCTCCCCTGATACTATTTTCAGTGCCATCTTCTTCAATACATTCACCTCAGGTGTCTCCAAGTGCTGCCAGTCCAACTCAGTTTCCCATTATCTCATCAAAAAATGAGAAAAACCACGAATACCACCTTACATTGGTTCCGGCTGGTGGCATAGCCGTTATAGTATTGGCCATCATGATGCTTATTGTGCTTAGTATTCTCATCCGACGGAAAAACAAACAATTGGAATATTTCACGACTGATAAATTATCTTCAAAAGTGTTCTCGCAAGGAATATTGCCGGAAGGTATGATTGCATAATCTTCGAGCATACTTTTTTTGGCCAAAAATGAACTCTACGATCTATATTTCTTCATTCATTAGCATCAAGCATTAATTTTAACCATTAGGTCAATGTCAAAATTTCAATTTTTTTGAAGATTACTCTATTATGGTTAGATTAGTTGTAAAGGTGAGAAAGTGAGTTTTTAGTATCTATCTTCAAACAAAGTAAGATCTAATAAGCAAAAAAATGGAATCCATGAAATGATCTAATTTCTCTCTCTAATATTCAGTTAGATGCAGGACTCTTCAAAGTTTTTTAACGTTCTGTGTACTGTATACATGAAATATGTGCAGGTTCAAGTTGTATGTTCAGAAAATTCAGTTACAATGAGACAAAAAAGGCGACAAACAACTTTAACACAATCATTGGAAAGGGTGGGTTTAGCACCGTGTTCAAAGCTGAGTTCCAGGATGGTTTTGTTGCAGCGGTGAAGAGGATGGATAAGGTGTCCAAGCAGGCAGAAGAAGATTTCTGCAGAGAAATTGAGCTACTTGCTCGCTTACATCACCGCCATCTAGTTAATTTAAGAGGCTTTTGTGTTGAAAAACATCAAAGGTATTCTTTCATCAAGTATATAATACAAAGACATATTGCTTTTTATCTCTTGCATGTACAATTAACTTCACATATCCCTATACTAACATACTTCATGGTGTAGGTTTCTCATGTACGAGTTTATGGCAAACGGAAACTTAAATGAGCACCTTCATTGTATTCTTCTGATCTTTATAAATAAATAAGTTATATATATTGTTATTTCATTCTTTTCACTCTTATTTGGCATAGTTCACATAAACTTATCTCTCCTATGGGAAAACAGCTAAAACAGCATAGCTTTTTATGTGTTGATTTATGAATTTACATTGTAGTTTAGCCGGACCAAACATACTCCCTTCGTCCCAGGTAAATTTTTTCACTGGCCTCTTTTGCACGCCCCATTTAAAGGTTCTTATTTTTACCTTAGGAAATAATTAGCACTTTCAAATGACAACTTAGTCATCACATATTAAAAGTAATACACTCATAACATCACAATTATCATCAATTACCTCATTATATTATATACCCGCCCATACTACTCCTCAAAATGTACTCAAACTATTTAATTATGGCCTAAAAAACTGTGCGGTTTTTAATGGGAACATTAAGCCAGGAGAGGGTAGTATCATTTAAGCTTCATGGCCTCTATATCATATTAAGACTTCAGAAGTTTATATTTATATATATATACTTATTCAACGTAAGCTTTACCCTTAACTAATCAATCTTATAGCCAGTAGAAATCATACATATTTACAAACTAACTACTGACTGCATGTAGCCAATGTCTGAACGATATCTAGCCAAGTATCTCAACCCTTTTAAAAATTCGAAGGAAATAGTATCAAGTTTTGAATTCTCTCTTTCATGACACTGGTCTTGCAAAAATTAAAAAAAAATCTACTTTTGTTGTGCTCTTATTCCTGCCATGTTTTTGAAAAACTTTCAAGGTCCAGAAAAAACTCCTCTTGATTGGTGTACCAGAATTCAAATTGCAATCGACGTGGCAAATGCTTTGGTAATTGATTGGATATTCTAGCTAACTCTTAGATTTGGTTATGATTCAGTTGTAGTCGACGAATTTATTTAATATCTTTGCAGGAATATCTCCATTTCTATTGTAACCCTCCGCTGTGCCATAGAGATATCAAGTCGAGCAATATTTTGCTGGATGAGAACTTTGTTGCAAAGGTAATTCTACCTTGCTTCCAAGAAAAGTACCTAGGCCTTCCTGGGATTTGATAAGTTATATTTCCATTCATGAATCTTGATAAAATAATGTAGTATAAAATAATCAGTAATATAAATAAAAGATTTGGTAATGAACAGGTTGCAGATTTTGGCATTGTTCTTGCTTCAAAAGATGGCTCTATTACATTCGAACCTATATTCACAGATATCAAGGGAACTCCAGGTTGGAGTAAAAGAGTTGACTTTGCTGTAAAATTAGTATCAAAACTTGGGTTTCTATCCTAAATTCAATCTGATATAAGAAGTAGCCTAATGTCTTATGAAGTACTCCCTCCGTCCCATAAAATTCTTCCCACTTTCCTTTTTGGGCCGTCCCAAAAAATTCTTCCCACTTACCATTTTTGGACAATTTGTGTGGTTCAGATTCATTTAACCTTTTTCTTACACAACCACAACCATACATTTCCACTTTATTCCACTTTCTTAATCTCCGTGCCAAGTCAAAGTGGGAAGAATTTTATGGGACGGAGGTAGTATATGTTAAAAATTACAATTACAGTTGCATGATATCCAGCTGAGGGTTGGTCTTTTGGGAGTGTTAATGAGAGTATCCTGCACTGATTAAATATAAAATAACAAACCAACATATAAGACTTTGGGTTACTCCTCCTATTAGACTTTTAAGATAGACCCCCATGGCTTAATAGTTAGTTTCTTTTTCTAGCTCTTGATTCATAATGTAAACATATGCTCTCTGTAGGTTACATGGACCCAGAATATGTTGTCACCCAAGAGCTAACTGAGAAAAGTGACATATATGGTTATGGAGTTATACTACTAGAACTAGTTACCGGACGAAGAGCAATACAAGGTAACAAGAATTTGGTAGAGTGGGCGCAGGTATACATAACATCTGATTCAAAGATAACTGAACTTGTGGACCCAAACATCGGAGACTCGTTTGACTTTGATCAACTACTGACACTAGTGGCAATCATAAGAGGATGTACACAAAGAGAGGGGCGTACAAGGCCCTCCATCAAGCAGGTCCTTAGGCTTCTATATGAATGTACAGACCCAATGCACGATGACTTTGTTGAAGAAGATGATGAGTTTGAGGGTAGAAGAACAAACAGACCTAGAGGGTATAGTGGGGATGCGAGATTTCTAGCCTCCTCTTCAAGTACTTCCAGGTCACAATGTAGTCGGAGCTTCGTTAATGGGAGTGGGTCCCCAGAATCCCCTTGCAACCTACCTTCCTACTTCTAACAAAGAGATTACCACTCTTTTACAAAAGTTTTGCACTTGACCCATAGGAAGTGAAGGCCACATGAACCAACTTTACTTATACTATAGAAATCTCATTGTTTCATGTATTCATCCTTTAATGATTGCCAGAAAGTTTTGGAGGAGGAACTGGCGAACTGTTAACCTTTTAGTTTTTCTTCTAATGCCTAAAGGGGGCATCGAAGTACGTATCTGAGATGGATCATTCACATTTTGATTGTGAGCTTATGTAACAGTATCACAATGCAGGCACAAGCTAGCAAAATGACACATTTTCATGAGTCAGAGTATTACCCTTGTTTTGAGAATGTATCGATGGCTGATACTTCTGAAATTCTATTGTTGGGGATGATGTTTGTAATATCTTTTAACATAGAAAATATGTATGAGGTGCATGCCCTTTGTTAGTAGGGAAAAATAATTAAAATATCCCAAACTTTGAAGTGGTATGAGATGAACACCCGAACTTGCATATGTAATTTAAATACCTCAAAGTCTCAAACTTTATATGAAAAGTTATTTTAGCACCATAGTCAAGTATTATTTCTTTCAAAAATGTAAATTTATGGATAAAAAACCTCACAAGTTATACGGTACACAGTTTTATATCCATTCGGTTTATGGTTTCACTTTTTGGGTGAAAAAATGACCGAACCGATATTGACTGACAAAAATTGATAAAACATGCTAAAACCGATTGAAACCGATAAAACATACCGAAATTAATTGAACCACAATTGAACCAAAATCAATTCAAGTAGTGCGGTTTGGTTTACGGTTTCACCTATTCTAAAATTGAAACCAATAAAATTGAACCGATAAAATCGAAATTGATGAAATCGAACCGACGAACACTCTTAATTGAAGTAGGGATGGACTCGGGCCGGGTGGCCCGACCCGGAACCGGCCCGGGACCGGTACTGTTCCGGCCCGGCCTGACCCGGTGGCCCGGTCAGTGACCGGTCCGGGTAGGCCCGGCCCGTGGGTTTTCCGGTCCGGGCTCGGGTCACCCAAAACAAGGCCCGACCCGGCCGGGCCCGGGCCCCGGTTCGGGCCAAAAACTATTTTTTTTCTTTTTTTTCAATTTTTTTTAAATTTTCGGGTTGGGCTGGGTATTTTGGGCCATTTAGAGTGGTTTGGGGGGTTGGGGTGGGAGGGGGTTAATTAGGAAGAGGAAAACAAAAAAAATATATAACGGGCCCGGCCCGGCCCGGACCCGGACCGGACCCGGTGGTTACCCGGGCCGGTCCCGGGTCCACCATTTCTGACCCGTCGGCCCGCCCGGGCCTAGGCCCGGCCCGGACCCGGCCCGGACCCGAGTCCATCCCTAAATTGAAGCTACCTTGGATGTCAGAGTAACGAGTCGAAGTACGGATGACTCGTTCAGCCCAATAATAGGCATGGTCAGGAACGGGACACGAGCTAGCTAGTAGAGGATCAATCCAAGTTCCCTTCTTACTTATAAAGCTTGTTGGTGTATCAGCATCGATACTAGTTCACAAATTTGGCAAAATTCAATTACTATTCAACTAGTGGACATGTCTTGTAAATGCTTATAAATAGGACACATGATCACTTGTAACTCTACATCACTTTTAGTATATATTAAAGTGCACCAGTTTCTTAGTGTTTTACTAGTTCATATATCAATTCCTATTGGGATATTCAGTCTTAGGTTCATAACCCCCAAAAGACCTACGAGTGTGACAAACATTAGAGAGTTTGGTCTATATAAGACTAAAACATAATCATCTTCCAAAAACAGGATCAAATGTTTTGTTTTCTATAAATAGGACTAAGCATTGCATTTGTGCCTCTAATGTAATGAATTAATATCGAGTATAATTAATTTCAATCTAGTTGCCTACCACAATCAAGGTGATCCGTTGATAGAGTAGAAGCAATTTTAAGAATCAGATACAAACATTTCATATTTTGATATGTATTTCCACATTGATGGTATATAAATGCTTGGAAAGCTAAGAAGGGCCAAGAACTCTCATGAAAATTAGAAAAAACACAAAACAATTTGGAGAGTAGACGTAGAGATGGACTCGGGTCCGGGCCGGGTCCGGGTCGGGCCTAGGCCCGGGCAAGCCGGCAGTTCAAGAATAGTGGACCCGGGACCGGCCCGGGTAGCCACCGGGTCCAGTCCGGGCCGGGCCGGGCCTCCGGTTTGGATTTTTTTTTGCTTTCCTAACCCCCCCCCCCCCCGTCATCCCCCACCCTCCCAAACCCCCCCAAACCCATCCTACCCATCAAGCCCAACCCGGGTGGAACCCCAAAAAATAAAAAAAAAATAAAAAAAAATCAATTTGGCCCGGGCCCGGGCCCGACCCGGCCGGGCCGGTTCACCAAAATTGAGACCCGAGCCCGGACCCGCCCTACCCCCCGGGCCTAGGCCCGAACCGGACCCGGACCCGGACCCGAGAACCGGGCCGGTCCCGGTCCCGCACAGTAGCGGGCCGGGCCGGTCCACAGGCCGGGTGGCCCGACCCGAGTCCAACCATAAGTAGACGCATAGAGCTGCTAACCCCTTGACTATCTTTAAATCAGATATTGGAGTGTTTGAAACATAGTTGTTACGGCGGGGTTTTGCGGCGCGGCGCCTTTGGACTGCCATACCGCCATGGCGATATGGCGCATGTTATGGCGGAGTCGCGGCGATAAGTCGACATTTACACTAATAAATTCATAATATGTTTTACATACTAAAAAGCCTACATCTAACACTTATAGCCAACACTACTAATGAAGTAAATTAAGTAATAAAACATGTAATCATAGAAATAACATAATCCATAAGACCATAACCATAAGCCTATAGACCATAACCATAATCCAAAACTAGAAAATAGAAATAAGTCAAATAACATAATCCAACATAAAAATACTTAAACATCATCAAGGAAATTGTCAAATCTAGAACCAGCTTGGTTGTTAGGAATGGTGTCCATGGCATCCTGATCCTCATCATCGACGTCTAAATCATCATCTGGAAATGGTTCACTCTCTTCACCATCCTCTTCAACATCTGTATCATCATTACGACGTCGAGAATAAACCCTAACTGAACTTGAGAGTCCGTTGACTCTTCCCTTGAGAATGCCTTTCTTCAATCGCTTCTTCTGGTGACTTTCTAATCATTGAAGCAACATAATTAGTTGGTTTACCTTGTTTTGGTAGTGAATGCTGAAATTTTAGAGTGGACTGTGCTACACGCTTCCTTTTGATGGCTGTTCCAGAACTAGGAACTGGACGAGTAGAAGAAGCACGAGATGATACTTGTGTGACAGGATCCTCATCCAATTCATCATCTTCATCATCCAATTCAACACTCACTTGCATTTTATTCTTCATTTTGCTCTTCATATAATTGCCTATCTTAGTTCTTATTTCTGGAGTTGTCTTTGCGCATTTTTCAACATCCCTGTAACCGCCAACTAAGTGTTGCTTCAGCCGTTTCACTCCAGAGTGCACCTGTCTTCCACAAAGTGCGCATTCTACCAAGTCCCGGTTATTCTTGTCCGGCCAAAAACCAAATTCTCATCCGGGATTATTCGATTTGGGTTTTCTGCTAGGATCTTTTGATGGATCATAACTTTCCGGATCAGCCATGGTAAGCACTGTTTAAAAAAATTATTAAATGTATAACTACACAACCAAAATTTCACTAAAAACTTAAAAAAAATTAATACATGTAAGACAACACAATTACACAACATAAATTTCATCATAAATTGAAGACACCAAAAACAATTATGAAATATAAAATAAATAAAAACTACTGAAATTTATTCATTATTTGGGGAAAAATTGAAATTTATTAGCATAATATTAAAACTTTTCTTAAAATATGTAACAATAGTGCGGAACAGGGCTGAGGGTGCGGACAATTCATGCCCAGTACCCACACTTTTCTTAAAATTGAAGCAAGTAAAACTAAGGAACAGGGCTGAGGGTGCGGACAATTCATGCGACTCCAAGAGTGAGCTAGCGACGGAAATACCTGAGGATTGACGTGCGGCCGAAGACGGAAGGGAAGAGGACCGAAGACGGATGCAGCGCAGCTGGGAAACTCGTCGAGCGCAGATGGATCGCAGGATCGGTCTGTTTTGTTTTATTTGATGGGTTTAAAAAATTGGGTTTGGGTTTGGGCCTGTAATAATAATTACGTCATGCGGCCTATGTCGTCTCCTAAGTCGTTCCTATGGCGTCTATGGCGTTCATCCGACGCTACAAGGACGATGCGGCGACGCCACAAGGTCTATGGCGAGTCGACAACATATGGCGAGCGTCTCTTAACGCCAGGACGATTTGGCGACGATAAGGCGACGCCATGACAACTATGGTTTGAAATAATAGAAAAAGAATGCGAGAGAATTTTTAAGGATCTCCTCTTGAATTTTTAGCTTTAAAGTCTTTTTTGAAAGGAAACACCGCTTATTGCAATATCATTAGGATTTTGAAAAAAAACAAATCATTAGGATTTGGATCGTTACATCAAACTCAAAGAGATCAACACTCACAACAATTATCTGTAACCAACTATCATTATCAACCATACGACTATACATTGAAACGATCACTTCTGAAAGAGCAATACGAAATCTCTAACCACCAAACCTGTGTGACACAGCAATCGCTGGTCGTATAGATCTTTCTAACGACATAATAGCTAGCAGAATTTTCAAACATTATTGTAAACCTAAAATTAAAGACATCAACGAAAAACAGAGCAACGTAAACAAACATAACGCCAAAATAAGATAATAAGAAATAAAGTAATTGATAAAAGCTCCAATCTCCTTCCTCCCAGTTTTGTTGAAACATCATCTTTCGAATCTTGGCATCTCGATCGCTCCATGACAACGACTGAGGAGGGAGGCGGACCGTCGATCTATCTTCCCCTTGTTAAGTCCTTCAGCTCTCCCCATCTGCTCGTCGCTCGTGCTGCCTCCTAATATGGTCACTATGTACCTGCCACTCATACCCATTTTCTCCCTTGCCCGAAGCCTCCTTTCAAGCACAAACGTTGGAAACGGGCGATCGACATCCTCACAAGTCTTGCAATTTGTCCCACCACCATCACCACAACCCTGCATTACCCCCATCACCCCAGCCCAGTCCTCATCACCCGGACCTGCCCTCATCATCATTCCAGACCTGCCCCACGCCATCCCCATCAGCCCTGCCCCACACCACTGGACCTGCCCCAGCCCCCCTCCCACTACCTGATTTGATCCCATCTCCTTGGCCTTCCCCACCCTCCACCCTATGCCCCTGCTACAGCTGGGCACTACCACACCTCTTGTCACGCCCCGAACCTACCCGGACACGTCAAC